GGTTTGAATTTTGAATTTTTGAATGTCTTAATTCCTGTGGAAAATCCTGTTCCAAAGATAAGATTAAAATATAAATTGTGCAAATATTTTTCTTCTTTTTCTAAAACAAAATAATAATTTTCTTAAAAAAATTGTGATTCAAAAAGAAAATAATGGAAAATAAATAAATTTTCTATTTCTTAATCACAGTTGTTTAATAATTTTCTAATTTTTTTAAAAGTAAAGAACAAAAATAATTTCAATTTGACAAAACATAATATTTAACAAAATTTTAGTCTTTTAATGAGAAGAAGTAAAAAAAATTCTGATGATTTCTATTTTCTATCTAAAGTTAACAAAAAACAAAAGTATAAACAAAAGACAACTTCAGAGTGTGAGGGACAGAAAAAGTGAATGAAAGAATGAAAATAACATTCAAATTAATATAGTTAATTCTAATGTTGTTTGTTTAAAAATGAAATCATTATTTCATTGATTAATATTAATAGCTGGATTTTCCGGGAACACGAAAAGGTTAATTATAGTTTATTTTCAAACAAATAAATTTAGAATTTCAAACATGGTAATCCAAGTTAGAATTATTTTATAATACTATGAAGTTGCATAATTGGAACCATACAAATTTAGTTACGTAGTTTACTTAATTTCAACCGCACAGAATGCAAAGAAAGAAGATGGTCTTCGAGGCTACTAACTTTCCTTTAGGTGGGCAAAACAATTATTTAATGATTCTCATATTCCTGCGATGTTAATTTTACCGAACTGACGGCTCATCAAAGTAATACGTCAAAAACAAGATTCAATAGGGAACTGAAACGTTCCTTCTCCGTTGAGATGATTTTATTGATAATTCTGTAAAGTTTATCTGGCTTATGCATCAGGAATACCTTATTTAATATTTGTTTCAGTGATTTCTTTGTGTTCACTTAACAAAACTAATGACTCCGATCTAAAATTAAAATAGTATCGCGGCCCTGCCAAAGGGACAATTCTTAAATCCTTTATGAAAAAATTTAATATTCCTATTTTATTTTAATAATATTTTTCGTTATCATTTTTTCCCGACGATAGAAAAATGGTGGCAAAATTGATAAAAATAATTTATAGCATTATTAAATAACGACCTTTTGTTATCCACGGTCGATAAAACAGAACACCAAACTATCCATAGACACAACCTAAATTACCTAAATTTAGTTGAAAGTGGGAAGTGAAAGTGAAAAGTAGGAAATTAGAATTGAAAATGAGAAGTGACAGTGTAAAGTGGGAGTGAAAGTGGGGAGAGGAAAGTGAAAGTGGTAGTTGGGCAGGGAAGCGAGAATGGAAAATAGTAAGTGACAGTGGAAAGTGAGAGTGAAAAATTGGAAGAGGAAAATAGGAGTTGAAAGTGAGAAGCGAGAGTGGAAATTGGTAGTCGGAAAGATAGTGAAAAGTGGGAGTGAAAATGGAAGTGGAAAGTGGGAATTGAAACTGGGAGTGGGAGTAATAGTGAAAAGTGGGAAGTGAAAGTATGAATGGAAAGTGGGAGTGGAAATTGGAAGTGAAAAGTCAAAGTAGAAAGTGGGAGTATTTAAAACTGTAGCCTCCATCCAAACATTGATTCCAAAGTTATAATGCTATCTGACTTAATTTATTGAGCAAACACGTCTACTTAATAAGTGATGACAATTCCGGTTGCTCGAGAATAAACGTAAATGAGTTAAAAATGTGTGCGGCGTTTATAATCATGTTAATTACCATGTCTTACAGCTGTGTAATTAATTAGAACTGCAGTTTTAAAATGAAATTCTATTTGTGAAGCATTAAAATTCGTCCTTTTTTAAAAAATTAATTGTTTACTCGGACTCGTGAAATTTTTGCCAACGGTGAAAGAGACGAGGCTTCAACATATATAAACTGTGAATTTTTTTCGTTGTCGTGTCTCAAGAGTCGCATCCCTTTTGAGACTTTTTCTCGGCGAAATCTCCTCTGACATTCTAAATTTTACGAGTTCATTGTTGTCGAAACTTTGAGTTGGTTAAGTTGTTTTCGGTCTTTTATAATTACATGTAAAAACTAACTGTCGTTTGACAAATTTTTATCACTTTAGTTTTGCTTCTTTTGACAATAAAAGAAGAGAAGATGCAAAATGTATAAAAAAAGCAATTTTTATTTCCACTTTTGAAAATGTTTAATTTATAAGGAAAAAACATTTTATTTTTTCTCTAAATATCAATAAAAAAATAAAACTTAAATAAACTTAAATAATATTAAAAGATAAAGAATCTATAAAAAATAAATTAAAGCAACCAATGTCGTCTATTTTAATCGCGAATAATGAATCCGTTACAAACTGTACTTTCTTGCAATAAATCGAAATTAAATATTAAAATCAAATTTTCAGAACGTGGAAGGTAATTCAGACAGTTTAAAGATTCAAGAGAGGACAAAACTATACTTCAGTCGTTGTAAGATTTTCCATTTTGTCAAGGAAGAAAAAAAGGGAAATTTCTAACTTATCATTATTATATTTTGTAAAAAATATTGTGACGCCAATACGGCTGTTAAAATTAATAAAAATCCGGACAGTTAAAATTATTCTCATGAATTAAAAGCTAAAGATGACTTGAATAATTTTGAAACTCATTATCAGAAAGCTCTTAGGGTTACTGCTTACGAATCTGAGGTTTTTTTTTCAAAAATTATAAATGGCGGATCTACTTTCACTTTACTTTCACTTAACTTTTACTTTACTTTCACTTAACTTTTACTTTACTTTCACTTTACTTTCTCTTTACTTTCACTTTGCTTTCACTTCACTTTACTTTTACTCTACTTTCACTTTACTTTCACTTTACTTTCACTTCACTTTACTTTTACTCTACTTTCACTTTACTTTCACTTTACTTTCTCTTTACTTTCACTTTGCTTTCACTTCACTTTACTTTTACTCTACTTTCAATTCACTTTTACTTCACTTTCACTTCACTTTACTTTTACTCTACTTTCACTTTACTTTTACTTTACTTTCACTTCACTTTTACTCTACTTTCACTTTACTTTCACTTCACTTTCACTCCACTTTCACTCCAATTTTATTAAATGTTATTGCACTAATATTGAAATTCTCTTCAAATTGAAGTATACCATTTAAAGATAGGTTGATTAAACAAAAATCGATTATCAATAATATAAAAGTCGTCTATTATTATAAGAATTAATCAGTTTCTGCTTTCTAATTACGGCGTCATAAATGACGTGTATTTAAAAGTTGCATGCGTTTCGTTGATCGTTCTCATTGAAGCAATCACATTTAATAAAATTGGTGTGAATTTAGAGTGAAAGTGAAGGGTAAGTGAATTGAGAGTGAAGTGAAAGTGAAAATGAAGTGATAGTGAACGTTAAAGTGAGAGTGAAGGGAAAGTGAATTGAGAGTGAAGTGAAAGTGAAGTGAGAGAGGAGTGAAAGTGAAAGTAAAGTGAAGTGAAAGGGAAGTGAAAGGGAAGTGAAAATAAAGTGAAAATAAAGTGAAATTACAGAATAGAACCCTTGGAGTGTTTTTAATCCCTGAAATTAATTTTTTGACATTCAGAATAGCGGATAAAAAAATGGAAAAAATTTTTTAAAAGCAAAAAAAAAAAAACAATCTATCTGACAGTTAATTCCAGTCGTTTTTCGCGGCTGTAATTTTTTTTTAACTTTGAGGTGGGTTTAATTTATCCTGTTTCATTTACGTATGTAACTAGGTACACATTTCGTTATTTTACAAGTAATATTATATTTTCGAATTATACATATGTATATATATATACCTCCATGTTATTTTTTATTATTCGTTTTACTTCTATAATTAAAATATTCCTGTTGATGAGAAAATTCTCTATCGTAAGCAGGAAATGATTATACATACATTCGAGATTTATATAAAAGTAGAAAATATGCAAACGAAATAGAATTTGATTTAAATCTTTCATTTTATTTCTATTTGAAAAAGAATTCTGGCTTTTGATAAATAAGCAAAAAATTTTCAAAATTAAAAAATTCGATCTTTTAGCACTTTTATGTATATTGACTTTTAAATACGACATTCCTTCTTTATAGGAAAAGGATACTTTTATAAAAGTAAGAACATTATTAGTTTATGTTATTGAAACGTTTATTAGTCTCAGTCCGGATTTATACTTTTAACTCAAATCATATATTTGTTGAAGATATAATTTTTCCAGGGTTATTAATTCGAATAATAATGAATAATCTGACGTCGAAAAAATATTAAATTAAACAAAATTCAATATTATCCACGTACGAAAGTACACTTTATGTCTATATTATTATAGTAAAATATATAGAATGAAATTAATTGAATTATAATCAAATTAATTAAAAGTAATTAAATACAATTTCCCAAGTAACAAATTAGTTTCAATTTTAACAAATAATTTGTTCCAAACAACATCAGTTTTATACTCAGTTAATAAATTAAAAGAGGTAAACATTTGAATTATATTTCAAACCTTATTTTACAGGAATAAATACAATTTATTCAAATTTTTTTCCTTTCGATAGTGAGAAATTTTAGTAATTATTAAATTAAAATAATAATTTGGAAATATTAAATAGATGAATCATTTTAATGAAGGATATTGTTCAAATAAATTAAAACTCTATTCATTTTGGTACGCCTGTCCCAACTTCAGTTTTCATGAACTGGGTTAAATCGAGGATCAGCTTAGGTGATATTATAAGTTTTCAGTTTAGGAAATTAATGCACAATTAGAAGTAAACATTTTAATTAAAAATTGTAATTATTTTTTGTTGGTTTTGTATTATAGTAATTACTCTCATCATAAATTAGATACCCTTTAAAGTTTTACTTATTGTTAGTAATAATTTATCATGGCAGCAAATATCAGTTGTTTAGGATTAAGATTATTATAATCTAAATATGAAAATGTTATTATCCTCATATATTTTTTCTTGAAGAAATTTAAAGTGAAAAATAATTTTTATTCTTTTTTCAGACGGAGGTCGAAAATAGTAATAGTGTCAGCAAAACTGGAAGATAGTGGAAGGTACGAATGCGTGGCTGAAAGCACTTCCGGTCACCAAGCTTCTCTTTCAGCCCAACTTCTAGTCACTCAAGATATTACAAATCGAGAAACCAGTGAGTAACATTATAAATTGTAATTCATTTTAGTGACTTAATTTTTAGTAAATTGAACATGTTCTTTTCTTGACTATTTTTGTATTTAGGCACATTTGTGAAATCTGCTTACATACTTTGGATTTTCCACATTCTAAGATTATGTATAGGGTTGGTTGAGAAAAAAGTGTATTACGAGAAAAAAATATAGAAAGCAACCGTATATTATGAATAGCAGGCGACCTACTATTAGCCCCGACCCACTAAAACTCGTAACCCTTTATTTGGAGCCCTTTATCCACCCTTGGAACGGTGGTTGGACATTTGCCTTCAAGGGTATGCGCTCCATCTCTGTCCCTGCGGACATCCTGGGTTAACAGTTAAAAGCGGAATTAACATTAGAATAATAAATTAAAAAAAAAGAAAGTTATAAAATTTAACACCTTAACGATTGTTTAATGATAAATCAAAAATTATGCAAATATCAATTAATCATTTTCTCTTATTCGTCACAAAACGTCCACTTTCAATATTCCGATTCCACATTATGATTCCATCTTCAATATTGCGGTTCTACTTTCAATATTCCGAATAATATCCAACATTCCACATTCCGATCACACTTTCAATATTCCGATTCCACATTCAATATTTCGATTTCAAATTCCACATTCCAATTCCACTTTCAAAATGACAATTCTACTTACAATATTCCGATTTCACATTCGACATTCCGATTCCGCATTTTTTTCACATTCTATTTCACATTCAATATTTCAATTTCACAATCTACATTCTGATTTCACTTTTAATATTCCGATTTCATATTCTGATTCCACCTTCAATATTACGATTTCACATTCGACATTCCGATTCCACTTTAAACATTCCCATTCCACATTCTGATTCAATTTTAAATAATGCAATTCCACATTCAACATTCTGATTCCACTTTTAATTATCCGATTCCACATTCCGATTTCACTTTCAAAATTACAATTCAACATTACAATTCTACTTACAATATTCCGATTCCACCTTAAATATTTCGATTTCTGATTCCACATGCAATATTCCAATTTCAAATTCCACATTCCGATTCCACTTTCAAAATACTGATTCCACATTCCTATTCCACTTTCCATTTTCACATTCTATTCCACATTCAATATTCCAATTCCACATTCAATATTTCGATTTCAAATTCCACATTCCGATTCCACTTTCAAAATTACGATTCAATATTACGATTCCATTTACAATATTCCGATTCTACATTCCCAATTCCGATTTGACATTTAATATTCCGATTTCATATTCCGTTTCCACCTTTAATATTCCGATTTCACATTTGACATTCCGATTCAACTTTAAATATTTCCATTCCACATTCTGATTCCATTTTCAGTATTGCAATTCCACATTCAACATTCTGATTCCACTCTCAATATTCCGATTCCACATACAATATTTCGATTTTAAATTCCACATTCCCACTTTTAATATTACAATTCAACATTAGAATTCTACTAACAATATTCCGATTCCACCTTAAATATTTCGATTTCTGATTCTACATTAAATATTCCAATTTCAAATTTCACATTCCGATTCCACTTTCAAAGTTCTAATTCCACATTCCGATTCCACATTCTAATTTCAAATTCTATTCCACATTCAATAATCCGATTCCACCTTAAATATTTCGATTTCTGATTGCACATTCAATATTCCAATTTCAAATTCCACATTCCGATTCCACTTTCAAAGTTGTGATTTCACATTCCGATTCCACATTCTAATTTCAAATTCTATTCCACATTCAATATTCCTATTTCACATTCTGATTCCACTTTCAATATTCCGATTCCACATTCAATATTTCGATTTCAAATTCCACATTCCAATTCCACTTTCAAAATTACGATTCAATATTACGATTCCATTTACAATATTCCGATTGCACATTCCCAATTCCGATGTCACATTTAATATTCTGATTTCACATTCCACATTATGATTTCACTTTTAATATTTCGATTTCATATTACGATTACACCTTTAATATTCCGATTTCACATTCGACATTCCGATTCCACTTTAAATATTCCCATTGCACATTCTGATTTCATTTTCAATATTGCAATTTCACATTCAACATTCTGATTCCACTCTCAATATTCCGATTCCACATTCAATATTTCGATTTGAAATTCCACATTCCGCAATTCACCTTCAAAATTACAATTCAACATTAGAATTCTACTTTCACATTCCAATTCCACTTTTAAAATTACGATTTCTTTTACAATTTTCCGATTTCACATTCCCAATTCCGATTCCACATTCAATATTTCGATTTTAAATTTCGCATTCCGATTCCACTTTCAGAATTCTGATTCCACATTCCGATTCCATTTTCAATATTCCGATTTCACATTCCCGAATCCGATTCCTTAAATCTTTCGATTCCAGATTCCACATTCAATATTCCGATTTCACATTCCACATTCCGATTCCGCTTTTAATATTCTTATTTCACATTCTGTTTGCACATTCCGAATCCACATTCAATATTCCGATTCAACATTACGATTCCACATTTCACATTTTTATTTCACAACAATAATTTTAGTAGTTTGACATATTGGTTCAATATTATTTTAGTCTTGTAGCTTTGTAAATTCAGAATATTAAATGTGGAATCGGAATGTGGAATGTGAAATCGGAATATTGTAAGTGGAATCGGAATTTTGAAAGTGGAATCGAAATGTGGAATGCGAAATCGGAATATTGAAAGTGGAATCAGAATGTGGAATGTGAAATCAGAATATGAAATCGGAATGCGGAATCGGAATATTGAAAATAGAGTCGGAGTATGGAATGTAGAATCGAAAAATATTACGTAATCGACGCGACCCCAAGTACAATCAATAGTTCAAAACAAGGAAAAGGCAAGATTTGGTAAAATTAACTTTTATTCACTACTCAAACTTATCAATTCGTATAATATAAAAATAATGCAATGAAATCAAAGACACTATTGATAATAGTTTACTCTGATCAGTTTCCCTTTGTGATAGTTACGATTCGGACGTTTTCTTTTGGAACAATAATATTTCCAACTTAGCAATTTTTTTCTGTAACTTATTTGTCAAAAGTACTTTAATTATTACTATTAATTTTACTATTATTATTATTAATTATTATATTAATATAAATGATAACAATTGGTTTAAAAACAGTTCAACAAACAAATATGATAATTTTTTTCTATTCAATTTCGTGTTTACTCTTCTTAAATAATGACTTTTCATTAGGCATATATATTCACGCAAGTAAAATAATACATTTCAACGAACAATTGCAGCAAAAATTATACAACACATGAATCCCTATATTTCAATACGACTTTGATAGAAATAAATTTTTATTATGTTCCATTCATCAGTTAATGGAAATTTCAATAGTCCGTTTATGATTCAAAGTGTGTATTTATTGCGCATTTCACAGCAAACGGAAGCTTGATTAATTCCATTCGGTTGGAAAAACATTATTTTTTTTTCAATACAGTCAGTTGCTGATTTTCAGTCAACGATACAATATTTAAAAGTCAATAGTTCTTGTTTACATGTATAAGTAAATATAAATAACACACACGCGGTTTATATCAGATGTTGATATAATATAAATGAAACATTCATTAATCATAAATAAAATATATGATGGGTTATATAGATACAACCCCTGTATGAAATTTTCCAATAAGGATATATGTTTTTGTTCATTTTTTATTGCAGTTAAAATTTTAATTGCTTTTTTTTTGGTTGGAAACCTTTTTTTCAAATTTTAGTATTCTTTGTTTAATATTAAAATTGAGAGAATTTAATTTTACTAGCATTTTAATAATATGCGATGGAGTAATTTAGAAACAGTGACGATCAGCTGATTCAGCCCTTTCAACGGGCCGTTGTATACGAAACTCTGACACTACTAACAGGGTTGTAATTGTCATCCTTTGTCCGTTACGTGAAACTGTGGCTAGCCCTGAACCTCCTAGAGCCTTCTAGTCACTGCACCATGAAATTATCGTGTCGTATGAGTAATTCGTGGTTTATTAACGTCGACATCATCTAATAGGTGACGCTTCACTTTACACTTCTATTCCTTTGGTGCCTTGTAAGCAAGATTGTTATTATGTTTGTTTGGAAATAGTCTACATTCAAAATTTTAACAATAGAAATCCCAATTAGTTATCAGTGTAATTCGACAAATTTACTCTTCGGTTATTCCTAATGTCAATAGAATTCTTGTTAAACCAGTGAAAATATGTTTCGCCATGTTTATTAGAATCTTCAAAATAATTACAACATGCCTCGTTGTGCTAATTCCTATTGTTAACTTTATTTACAATTTTGCTGTCGTTGCATAATTAGCAAAATTAGAAAACATTCAAGTAATGTCCTCCCGTCAAGAAGAATTGTTTAAATGAATACAATCGATCCCTGTCATGGAATTTGAAAACGCTTTCAATCCAATCGAATGTTGATTTTGAACTTTCATGTTTTAATTTAGAACAGTGAAATAAAAGAGAGAACTTGATTTATTTGGCGACCAATTAATTCTGTTGTAGAAAATTCAACTGTCATATAGTTTATACTTCAAATCATCCTCAATGTTTGTCTGAATATTAATTCCTTTCGATAAATTATATATGTCGAACTGTAATAATTCGATTTATAAAAGAAAAATTAGCGAAAGATTTTTTGGCAATTTAAGTATTTATTAATATAACGTCAGATCAATAATTATTGCATTAAACATTTCGAATAATACATTCGTTTTTCTTCTTGTAAATTTATTGGACTCGAAGGGAGAACTCTTGCCTTCGGTCGTGAAATCACTGGACCGTCCTCACTTTCAGGTGGAAGTTCGAAGTCACCGAGGGAAGTGCTTTCTGACACTTATAATTGGATGGAAACCCGATTATACAAGATTGCTGTAAAGACGAATCGAGTGGA